CGGCTGTATATAGGCACGCTTGTTACGGTGGCACGGCAGAGCCGTGGTACCGTCCCGCATAGTGGTAGTATGGTTGCGGCTGATATTAGGAGAAGTGCAGCACGTTACGTGCTGACAGTGTTTGCACGTCTCACGACGCAGCCGGGCTATGCATGCGACTACGAGTAGTACGAATAATTTTTTATTTTTTATTTTAGTTCTTTACTTATTTTAATAACTATACTACTTACTTGAAGCTTTTTGCGGTGATTTTATTCAGTCAATTTTATTCACTCATCAATTAATAGTATGTATTATTTATTCGGCATGTATTTTGCTTACTCTGCATAGTTTATTGCGGTGAGTTAATTCAGTAAATTGTTTTCATCCTACAGCCATAACTTCGTTTATTCTACAGTCTACACCAATTAATTTTGTTTATATATTGCTATAATACATATTATTATTATGTCAGAATTCTGTTTCAGTTCCATAATACCTGTAGGTCTTGCAAGTTGCAGTCCACCAGTGAACGGCGTGAAAATTACGGCCTTTTAATTCCAACAGCTTGATAAACAGCACAATAAAACCAAAAACCGACATTTTATCGAAAAAATTTCGTAACAAATTTCTCAAGAATTTCTCGACAATTCCAACCACAGTTTCTCGCTTCCAAATTACACCAGTACTTTAATCCACGACAAATAAAAATAAACAATCACAACAAATAATTTAAAAAGAACGAATCAATTCTAAAATAATTAAATAATCAATTTACAGGGGTGCTACGCCAAGTTCGGGCAGTTACGAAAATTCCTCTGCTTCTACCAGTTAAGTCTAATATTTTGAATTTGTTCTTGCAAGATAGTTCTTGTCCTGGACCACCTTAGGTAATTTTGTTTCTATGCAAAAAGCTGATGTACAAGGAATGCGAGCCGAATTTCTAATTTCATTTTTTGTGCAAAAATCTCACTGCTTAGTACGAAATAATCATGTACCTTCAACAAAAATTTAAAAATTGGTGGACATTGAGAACTGTGAGGTGTGAGCTGTATTTTCTAAGGGTCCTTCCCTACCTTCAGTTTAAACAATAAAATCTTCCCTAATGGGATCGGTGCTCTAGGCAACCGCATTCCCCTGTAGGTACTTTTTAACATACAAGTCTATGGGAAATGCATCTTGTTCCGAGGTCACCTCGAGCACGGATGGCGTAAGTCCCCATTGCCGACCCTTGAACGACACCTTCTGGGTCACTCAACAGTTTTCAAAATGGCTCGCGCAAGAATATTTGTTGGGACATTTTGAATCGGTCCAGTCATAAGCCCCCGAAAAACTACCTTCACCCCCGCCTCTTATATTCCGCCTGGCCCCTTGCTATCGAGTCGAATGATTGAAAATTTGACACTGTTAGATTAGCAAGAAAAAGTTACACTAGAAAAGTGAAGAAACGAAAACAAAATGGCGTACGGGAATATTTACAATTTATTTTACGCAGCTGCCCGAACTTGGCGTAGCACCCCTGTAAATTAACCGTTACAACATCGGCGCAAACTGTATCCACAAAAAATTCACCGTGAGTAGAATGAGAATTTTATTTCAATTTTTTTTAAAATAACGGCACTCTGAATTTAATGAGCTTGGGATTTACAGACATAACCGGCATCTTCAGATCAGCAATCTTGTTCGCCGGGAAATTGTTGCCGGCACTACCTTGCCTGGAAAAAAAAGAAAGAGAGAAAAAATAAAGCCACGCGGGAAAAAATTTACATAAAATATGAAATTTCAATTTCAACTTAGGCATCTGGCAAAAACGATGTTTGATAATTTTTAATTTCGCAAAACTACAAACAGAAAATTATTCCGGAGCAGAATCAAACAAATCAACGAAAAATTACAAAAAAGCAACGACAAAACTATCAAAATTAATCAAATAAATCAACGAAAATTATCACAAAAAATTAAATTTAAAATATTCAAATTAAAGAAATCAGAAGAAAAATAGCAGAAATAATTAGGCCAGCAAATTCCCTAAAAAATAATATTCAATTCGACAAGAAGCGCACTAACCTGGCCCCTGAAAATCCACGGTGATAATAATTATGCATATGTAGGCGAATAAACGTCGGAATCGTGTGGAATCCCACTTCCCAGCACCACCGGGTAGTGCGTTTTCGGTCGAATATCTGCTCATCCGCAAACCACTGCGCCCGACGGAACGTATGCCGGAATAACGGCACATGCTCCGGCGTCAAATACTGGACGGTGTCGGCTCCAGGGCCCAGGGGTGTCGGTCGGTGATGGGCTCCAGGGGCAACGCCAGATAGTGATGGCGGGACTTGGGGATGGAGTCGGACAGGATGACAATGGATACATCGAGGTACAGTTGGCGCGCGCGGGGTCCTTGGAGGATCGTAGAAGCCCCAGACGCCAGCGCTGCTGGAGGGACACCTCCCAGAGGGTCTCCAGAGGGGCCCGATCACCCGTCGCCCCGGACCGGCGTCGTAGGCGGAGAGGGAGGCGGGGGCCGGGGCAGACTGATGGAGGTAATCACGGGGGTCTGTGTCTCCATCGCACGGCGGGCGGCGCTGCGACACGATACCACAACGTCGTCACGACGGTCACGTCAGGTTTAGGAACTCGAGTTTCTGTCCGAATTTTCTGTTACGGTGGAGACCGATGGACTAATACAGAAAATTTCCGTACTGTTAAAACAATACATATACACAGTACAATTATTATTAGTCAATTAAAAACCATGAAGACTATTTAAAAAGCATTCTCAACATATCAAAGTATCGTCGCAACCTTATGGGGACGGAACTAAAAAGCTAGTGGAAATGGTTGGAAACGGTATAGCGACTTCCACTGGCCAGACGCGGGCGAAAGAGTTTTTTAAACAGCGAATACAAATACAACGGAGAAACGCGATTTGTGTAATGGGTACGATCCCCGATCGTGATAGCATAGAGGAAGTGTTTGTGTTATAAATGCTGTTTCGTTTTGGTACATAGTTTGTACTCGTATCATGATAGTGATGATACTTATTAAAGGTTATTTGTCAGGTACGTATCGTCGTAGCGCAGGAAGTTTGCATCTCTTTTCCAGTCGCTTCGTCGGTAGGTTAGTAAGGTAACAGTAGGGTAAAAAATCCTGTGAGTACCTGGTGTATCGAATACTCCTATGCGTATCCGTTGTACGGTATCTGTACTTGTACAGCGTATCCGTTGTTCAGAGCCTAACACCTTTAAAATCTACGTGACCACTACATCGGAACCTCCGCGTTTGCACATCTCTAAGCGCTGGACATCTCTGAATCTTGAACAGATTTTTTGTACATATTGGCGGTAACCTGTGAGTCGTGAACACCTCTGAACCCTGAAACAAAAATTGCGTACCGAGGGTGTTCAAGATCGGGAGGTTCCACTGTATCAATTTTTGCAAAGAGGGAGGTGTTGCTTATCTTTTGATATTCGTACTGTCATGATATTTAAAGGGTCGCGACCCGTAAAGTGTAATTCTTGTGGAAAATTACCCGATACAGGGTGGCAAAATCATGTACATACACATGTCTACACATGAAAATTTTCGCGCGCTCTAGACATTTTTTGCACTGCTACATAGGGATCTATAGACTATAGCCAAATGATTTGTATTTGTTGGCGTGAAGACCGTTTGTACGCGCAACATCCGGATGGGAAGTTATCGGTGAAATTATTATTATTACGGCACGAGAGCCGACAACCCCGATAGGACTTCAAATCCGGTCATGAAAATGGCACTACACAAAGTTTAATTGCAAGAAGAGGTACCACAGTCTCATTACAGACAGCTCTCCTTCAAATTAAAAACTGCGCATAAGGATAAAATTAGTTTTGTCGTTGTATTATGATGCACGGTGCATTTATGCTTAGGTGCATGTTAATAATGCATGCTGAGTATTCCTCATGTATGTAGAATTCTAGCGAAAGCTTTTCTACGATAATGCGAAAAACATGGAAGTGATTACTTATTTCACGCAACAGTACCGCGGAATGAATCAGCAGTCTAGACTACGTTATTGTTCGTATTGTCCCATTGGATAACGGCTGTTACCGTACCGCTATACAACGGTCAGCCGGCGTGGTCAATGCGCAGAGGTCAAGTACGCGGCAGTCCGAATCATCATTTATCTAGTGACAATTACGCAGCCTCTCCACGACAACGCTATACCGGTAACACGCTCGCGACATAAACAAACACCGGCTTGTATCGCATCTAGCACCTTACAATGGACATCTGGACACATTGCAAAGATAAACATCCGCGCGGGTATCGCGACGCATTACGCTGCAGAAAAAAGCGTAACACGAGCTGGACATTACACACATTATACCCGATATCACCGATGTAACCGGCATCCGCAGAGCGAATTTACACCGTGCTGCAGCGGGTGTCATCATCAGATTTTAATTTAATTACCCGGCGATGAAACGCCAGTTCGGCAGTTATTTATTTGGTCAACCGGCAAAATAAACTGCTGTATCGGGAAAATGACATTACCGTGGATTACTAAACCATGCGCCGCTTTTGTGATGTTGTTTACCGGATTCTGCTTAGTTTGTGTTTTTTGTTTGCTTGTTGATGCAGCCGATCATCGCTCCAAAAGTGATCCCAGGGTACGTTAGATAGTAAATTTTTAAAATCATTAAAAAGATAATTTTGCTTTGATTGATTTAAAGACTAATTAAAGAAAAATGTTGATTGTTTATTGAGCAACCAAGCATCATCATCACATATCTTTATTCACGAACAACATCAAATATACTGGCTATAGGCTAGTCAAGCCACCACACTCCGAATTAAACGCAATATTGTTTATTACGCGGTCGCAATTAATTATTCGCAGCTTAATTATATATTGGCCATTTTTGCTGTACACGACTATTCTTAAACTGCTGCAGCTAACGGCCAACTGGAAGTTGACGATCAGCCGGACCTTGTCGGCCACGCCCACCCGCGCTAAACGCGACCACCGTTCCAGCGCCTCCTCGGAAGAACACCGCTCTCGCAACCGCTACTGGAACAGCAATGGGCTGCTGCGCATGGCCCCGGTTAATCAGAGTCCGGCCCGGCAGAATAACGCCCTCCCGGTGGCCATGCTGCTGCTGTTCTCCGGTCTGGGAGGTACATCGATCAGCGGAATACCCGCTCTCGGTTTTTTTAACATACTTTTCTTATGTTTCTTAGGTTTTCTTATGCATTATACAGCCGACACGTAATTTAAAAAAATGATTTTACATTAGAAAAAATACCGCTAACGCATTTTGGCGGTTAAATAAGCAACCGGTGTTTAATACAGGTAGTGGCCCGGACAGAATTAAAATATAATTATATTACAGGGACTTGTTTTATTAAAAAATTAGTAATTCTGGAATAGGAAGTACTGGTAACTGCGCCGTAATGTTTTTAGGTGGAGGTGGAGGCGGCCACATTGGAGGCGGTGGCGGTGGACTGTTGGACGGCGGAGGCGGTGGCGGCGAAATGGGACTCCTGCCAGGTCCGCCGGTCCCGCCCGCACCCGGTACAATAATTCTAATTCGGTCTAATTCTTGACCACAGATGGGCCGGCACGCGCCGTACCCGACGCCGAAGACGAAATCGATCTAAGCGATCTCTTCCAATTTTAGGCCCCGGAGGAGGCGGCGATTTCGATAATCTATGTAAGCGTAGCGCGCTGCTAATCAACGGAAATTATGTTTAAACTTTTACATACAGAATAATTATTACTGAAATTATGTGTAAAACTTTAAATAATCAACAAAATCGTTGCTAAATTGGCAAATTGTATAAATTATACGGATAAATCAGTAGATGCAAAATTATTTAAATCTGAGCGTCTAGCTATTAAAGAAATAATAAAAAAGAATATTAAATAAAACCTTCCACATATTAATTTTTGGTTATATAGCTATTAAAGGGATAATAAAAATGATTAATAAATAAAATCTTCCATAAAATAGTTTTTTCTGTATTTTTCTGTATACTATGTTAATTTTGCAGGGAATCTTATCGAAAATTGTGAGTGCCTTGACGAGCGAAATTAGCCGGCAACGAATTTCCAGGAGGCTAAAACTGGCTGGCTGCGTTAAAAGAAATCGGGTGGCATCCTTTCATAATTAATTAAATAAAAGAGCGGGTGTTGGTTGTTGTGTCTTTGCAGTAATTCCCGGAGTGCCGCCCGGAGCATTTATCTGAATGATTGCGTGCATGCTGCATGCGCTGTACATCCGCTAATCTCTGGCTGTACATTCTCCCTTTAGATCTATTCGACACGGACCCCACCGCCAAATTAACCGCCCGCCGCCCCTTAGCCCCGCCCACCCTGCAGTTGCGCCGTGTCGCGGATGTACCGCCCGCTGACGGCGCTCTGCGGGAGAAAATCTCCTCGTCCGCCGCGCTCTTAGCGCGCCCGCCCGCCGCTTCCGAGTTCCGCAATGCGCGCCGCCCACAGCGCCGCCGGCATCTGTGACCTTTCTAATTTATTCTTCTCTGTACATTTCCGCGAGATCTGTATAATACATGAGTACAACGTCAGCAGTTAATAAAAGCGGGAAAAATTAAGTCCGCTTCACTTAATAATCATAGGCAAGTTCTCATCACGGTAGATCCGACCGCGTCAAACCGCAGATGTAGAAAATCGCAGAACGATGGCGTAACAGTTGAAACCCTCGACCATTTGGCGTCACAAAAGCACACCGATCATTAGAATCACGGCGCAAAAAAAATTTCAGATAATTTTTTTACGTGCGAATAAATTTAAAATTCAAACATTTTTAGCCCTTTTTTATTAAAAGCTTGATTGGGAACTGAATGAAGTTTGCAATTAAAATCAGAAATTTTTAAGAATTTATTTTCCGAATTACGCTTTCTGTTATGAACAAAGTGATTAAATCAGGTATTAAAAAAATACGAGTATAAGCCAGTTTCTTTATTACTGTATATCGTTGGTTGCAATTTCCGCTGATGTTGTCAGATCGGAATTCAAATTTGATTAATATCTCCACTTAAAATTAGCAAACAATAATTTTTGAAAAGATACATCTTTTATTTTAAAGCGTTTTAAAATTGCCAAAGCTCGGACAGATTTTGAAATGACGGAATGTGACGCTTGAAACCGCAAACGTTTAAAATTGGGATTTGAATCCTACCGTTTTCCAACAAAGTTTCTTGTATTTTCTTCAGCAATTTTTCGTTCTCACGTTTTCTTAAATAATTTTTTACATAGTCACGAACAGCATTTTTCACCGTCATTTCCATCCGCAACACTTCAGAGCCCGAGAATTTCAAATAAGAAAATCACAACAAAATTGCTGCAGATAAGAAAACAACACCGGAAGTCCCAAAAAATTCCCCATCGGTCGAAAAAACACATTTTCGTTATTAAAAACACATGCTCTAAAATTTCGTCAACGGGCACTGCATTCCCACGTTGTATCGCCAATTCGCAATACTGATTCTCTGATGCAAAAGCTCCCCCGACCGCAGATGACCCCGACATCCCGGTTTTTGCCGATAAGGCCTAGAATAATTATCGAGCCTTTTTCGCCGCGGGATCCCAGTCATAATCGCTATCCTCATGCTCCCGGCCGCTTCCCCGGCGATTGTCCCGCCGGCTGTCCGCAGCGCCGCCGGCGCCCGCCGCGGACCATCGCCCGCGTTCCGGCCGACCCAGATCCCGTCCGTAGCGCCTGCCTTCCGCTGACGGTGGGACGTACGTCCGTGGGCGCTCGTTCTCGGAACGCTGGCTCTGCAAATTCGGTCCAAAAATCATAATTTGAAACGTATTAATTTTATTTATTATTTCAATTATTTTAAACTTTTATTTCCTGAAATTCTTTCATTTACAGCACAACGGAATTTTTCTAAATAAATTTCTACAAATCTAGTTCATAAATTTAAAATTTTATATATTTCTGTATACATATTCATAGCAGAAAGATATTCTAAAGAAATTTATTTCCTAAATTTCAAATTTATTTATTTGTAGCACAAAGATATTTTACGCAGATTTTTAGAAAATTATTTCATAGATTTCAAATCTAAATTTTTTATTTATTTAAAACAGAAAGATAATCTATATATAAATTTTTAGAAATTTATTTCAAAAATTTCAAATTTTATTTATTTTTATTTATTCGTAGCACAAAGATATGCTAAACAAATTTTTCGAAATTTATTTAAGAAATTTCAAATTGTATTTATTCATAGCACAAAGATATTTTAAACAAATTTTTAGAAATTTATTTCATAGATTTCGTTAATTATTAGATTTTTAATCAAGTTTTCTAATCAGTTTCCTGTCTAAAATGGCCAACAGACTGCCAGAATGGCAAGCAAACCTGGAAGGCCGCCCGTTCGATGGCGTCCATGAAGGGCCGCTCCAGGAACTCCTCCAGGGTCTGGGCGTCCACGGCGTCCTCCTCCAGCGCGGCGAAGATCCGCTCGAATTCCCGCCGCAGCTCCGCGGCGTTGCTGACGGCCACGGCAGCCTTCACTTCCGCCATCTATCCCCACAGAAATAACCATCAGTAATGTTTTATTTAACTGACCAGTAATTCATTTTCATACTGCATAATTTTGCAGCTTGATTCGATTCAAGAAACTGGGGAAAATGGCCCGGTACAGGGTGTCAAAAATGGTATACATACACTAAAACTTTCACTTTCGCGCACTCGAATAAGTTTATAACTTTTGGGAAGGAATACATACATTAAATGCATTGTTGTGTATCAAAAGTCTGGTTATTGTCCAATCTTCTTGAAACTTTGCTGGAAAAGATACAGAGTTATGAAGTTAAAAGTGAAACAAGTTCAGGTTCACTGTTCATATCAAATTTTAAAATAGAATTAAAATTTGGGAAATCGGAAAAAAATATTATTAGTGTATACGGTTTTAGTGTAAGTATCCCATTGTTGAAACCAGGTACCGGACCATTTTCCTTAAGGCGCTGTTTAGCAAAAAATTACAAAATTTCCCAAAGATCCGACAAGGTACTAGTACTACCTCCGTTTTCAATATACTGAACACTATCGGACAATAATTTTTCTTTCACGTGCAAATTATTATTCTACAACGCGTCTCCACTTCCGATGTCCGTGCCACTTAATTTATTTTTCTCTTAATTATCCTAAATAATTTTATTCCTTCCTATTCTTTCTTAATGATTTAAAAAAATGATTTTTTCTTAATTTACAGAAATTAATATTAACTAACACATCAACGAATAATTTTACTGATTATTTTATTTCGATATTATTAAAACTTACAATAAAAAACCATCGTTCCTTTCTATTATTATTTAATTTTTATTTTATTCCTCGCTATAATAATTTTATTCTTTCTTAGTGATTTAATGAAATGATTATTTCTGAATTTACAGAAATTAAAAATAACTATCACATCAGCGAACAATTTTACTAATTATTTTATTTCAATATTATTAAAACTGACAATAAAAACCATCGTTCCTTTCAATTATTATTTAATATTAATTGTATAATAACTTTATTTTATGATAATCACAAATTTATAGAAATAATTAGTACAGACAGTGGTAAGGATCAAAAATATTCGCAGTATTATTAACTATTATTTTTTGAATAAAACTGTTATTTCCATAATAGTGACCGGCATGGATTTCACATCTGGAAAACCGATTAAATAATGTGCTACACCGTCCGTAAGGGAAAGCGTTAGCGTAAAAAAAAAAAAAGTTCAAATGTGAATTCACATCCTACGTACAGTAAATAACGCCATAGCGTGCATAAGAAGCCGTTTGCTAACGCGGTTTAGCGCCACTGTTCTACGATATCCAGCTGCTTATACGTGATTATTTTCCCATATTAACAAGTTATTCTACGGAAAAATGCTAGAAAACTGAATATTAAACTGCGTGCTTACCACATCCTGGAAGAAGGCCAATCCCGCCCGTTTCGCCGCGCTGTCCTGCGCGGCGGTCCAGCCGAGGATGGGGAGGACCTCGTCCAGACGACCCAGTCGGGTCAGCGCCAGCACGCGCAGATTGCGGCTGGACATGTAGGATTGGTGACTGTGAAAGGAACCCTGCAGCTCCAACGCGCCCGCCGCATCGTTCTACAGTGGAACCTTTAATAAGTATCATGGTACGAGTACAAACTATGCACCAGAACAAAACAGCATTTTTAAAAGAAACACTTCCTCTATGCAGACTATGCTATCCTGATCGGGGATCGCACCCATTACACAAATTGCGTTTCCCGGTGTATTTGCATAGATATTCGCTGTTTAAAAAACTCGTTTTACACAAATCCACATGAAGGTACGTGGATCCAATTTTAGATAAATTAATTAAACTAATTAGAAATTAAATTACGTACAATACATATTATACTTTATTAATACACTTAAATTACATTAAATAAAATTTGAATTTAATTTAAATTAACTTAAACTGATATTAAATACTGTAGTTTTTATTTCACAAAATGCGGTAACATCACAGTTAAATTATATTAAATTAAAACAATATAAATTCAATAAAAAAATTTAAATTAAGTATACTGCAAATTAATCTGGACTGCAGATAAATCACCATTATTTATTAAACTGCTGGAAACTCAGAAAGTGTGTTTAAAATTCTGATATACTAACTAAATCTACTTTTTTAATATTAATACAGATTAATTTGCATAAATTAACTGGCTTCATGATATTTTATTATTTTGACAGAAAACTGCGCACATTGTTTGCCAGTTAATGGCCGCGTGAATTCTTAAAAAATATCGTAACGGGGAACAGTTTAAATACTTAAACAGTGAAAGTTGACACCGCAGAGTTCAGTGGAAAACATTAATAAGAAACGTAAACAAAAATTTCTAAAATCACGCGAAAAAGCCAAATTTAATCGATTTAATTGTGCTCACAGTTTTCAACGCTAAAGCCACCACGAAGGCCGCCGCTTTACGCATAACCGGCGCCTGTTTGTCCACGGCACCCTGTATCCACCCGCGGGCGGTGGCGTAGGCTTCCGCTGTCCCCTACGCAAAATTAACAAGTATTACTTAATTTGTTAAGTATCAAAAAGTATTATAAATTTCTTAAAGATTTTTTTCAGTATCGCGATTCTGACGGGAAACTGTTTTGCAATTTAACGAATAAATAAATCTCATGAAAAAGAAAATAAACAAATTAGTAACTAGATAAACCGTATCATAAATAACCACCATATACTGTAATGCACGAGAAATTAACCAATTAAGCCAAGTTATTTATTGGTTAAATCCTTTCGATGTTCTTTTTCGAATATCTGGCCAACTGCAGAACAGATTTCCATAGATTGTACAATTTTACAATTAATTAAATTAATTTATTGATGGAATTAATTTTAATACAGATGCTATTCAATTCATTATTTGGAAGAAAAGGGTTAAACAATTTTTTTACGACATTTCTAATGGCGCATTTTTATACGAATTTTAAATAATAATTTATTTTTTTTAATCTGAAAGCCAGGAAAGTCTCTCAGTGTTTTCTCAAAAAAAATCTGACCAACTAAAAAGCAGAATTCCGGTAAATTAATTCAACTAATCACAGAAATAAATTTTCAGATTTCCCTCAAGTATAATTTAATTGATTAAGTACAAGTAATCAATTTTAATACACGAGGTATTTTGTTTCTAAACTTGAAAGAAAATACTAACATGATTTTTTCGGGATATAACTGGAGCATTTTTGTAGGAATTTGTGGTTTTAATTTTACTTTTTTATAATAGGCCAAAAAATAAATCCCTGTTAAAAAAAATTTGAAAAAAATTGGTAAAAATTTTTAAAATGAATCTCAATTAGAAATTTAAAAAACCGGGCCAGCTAGAGAAAATTATTCGACTGGATGGTACAAGTTTATAGCAAGCCGCGCAGGCCAGCGCCAGATTTTCGCGGGGGAATCTCGTCGCGATGAAGGGACGCTGCAGCATGTATGTGTACAACTGCACCACGTCGTTGTAGCGCTGGTGATTGTACAGGAGATTCATGGCCACCATGTACGACGTCAGCTGGTCGTACACCTCCGCCAAAACCTGAAGACAAAATTAAGAAATTATTTGGAAAATTTACGGCATTTTATTTAACGTAAATTTATCCGATTTATTTGAAGGTATTTTCTTATTTATTTTTGTTTATTATTCTTTTCTATTTTTTATTTTTTCTGATGGATTTTTTGCTTATATTTATGTCTTGTTTTATGTTTTTCTAATTAATTGCCTTTTTTTAATTTTTCTGTTTATTAACTTATTCATTTATCAATTATTTGTTGAATTTCTAGTATAATTTTCTTATTAATTATCTACTTATTAACTTATTTGATTTATCAATTATTTATTGAGTGTACCATTCTTTAAGTGATATTTAGTTATTTTTATTCAATGTAGAATTTATTTTTGCTCGCATGAAGCAGTACAGAAACAGTTAAGATATTCTATCAAAATATTTAACAATCCGATTTTATTTCAGCTGCAATTTTGTTGGCCTTCTATGATTCCAGTTATTTTGATTTTTAATAACACATAATGCCACGGGAAAATATTTGCATATAAAAACCCATTGAACGCAACAATTTTTAAATGAATACTTCATAAACAAAGAAATTTTCCAGTTTTTAATGAACAAAAAAACTAATCATACTAGTATCAAAAGTGAGTGCATCTCAAATTAAAAAAATAATAAATAAATACAAAAATGGTTAATAAGTACAAATAAAAATGGTTTACTAATGGTAGACAATTGCCAATATTTTAATTATAGAATCGTTAATAACGACATTCTGAAACTGTTCTCATTTTCCCAGAATAACTACAATAATTCGCTTTTATTTGCGCTTTTAATTAGTGTGCTATTCTACAGTTCAAAATTGCCAATAATGCGTAAAACTAAACGCATTTAATTTTCACATACCTAAATTAAAATTCTAAATCAAACAAAATTACACAATATAAAAAACTAAAAATAAACAGCAAACATAAAAAACTACCGAATTATTAAATTATTCAATTAAACTACCAAAGCAAATTGATGCTTCATATACAGAAAGCATAAACAAGAAAATTACATTCAATTACTCGTAGAAAAATACCCTAGAAAAAATAAAAAGACCTAAAAAAGAAATGAATTACCAGAATTATTTTTGGATAAATTCCAGACAAATTCCAGATAAATTCGATTATATTTCAACGAGCTGTAGCGGACTTAAAGTATTAAAAAATAAAAATCATAAATAAATAAAAATATTCAACAAATACAAATTAAATACATAAAAATATTATGTAAATAGTTAAAAATTAAAGAATAACAAATAAATACTTAAACATATTTCAAAAATTCTTTAAATATAGAATAAATAAAAATGCAATTCTACTTACGGGATCCTGAATGGAAGACAGAGCGGCTTCGGGTTTATTGAGATGATAATGCAGACGCATAAGAAGCGGGCCGAAAACGAACGAACCAGTGCGCGATCGTCCATATTGCTGCACATACCTTCACGCAAAAAAAAATCAGAATTCGACGGTAAAAATTCCTCTGCAACGTTCTCAGAATCCCCAAAAAAATCCATATAAAATACCCAAAAATCAGAAATATTACTTAAAAAACATAATTAAAATAAGTAATCTGAAAACCGAACTAAGCACCAATAAAATCAAATTAAATTAAAATTTTAAAGAAAAAAACATTCATATTTATTAGATTTTAGGAAAAAATAATACTAAAATCAGGAAAAAATTAAATAAAATACTAGACAAAAAAACTAGCAAAAAAATAAAAATTCAAAAATACAATTAAAATTAATAATTTAAAACCAGAATTAAGCGCGAATAAAATCAAACTGAGTTGCAAAACAACAATAAATATTGAAAATAAAATAATGAGTACAATTACTTCTCAACGTACTTTTTCAGCATTTTATTGATGATCTGCAGATCCTTATCGTCCTGCGCCAGATAGCACATCTTCTTCAGGTCTTCCGTCACGGTGACGTTAAAGAAATTGGAGTTAGTCGTCAAATACTGCTCCATTCGTTTCCTGAAAACCTCTACACCCCCACAAAAAATTCAAATAAAATTCTGAATAAATAAAAATAAATTTCCGGAAACATTATAAAAATATTAATTAGAAAATAAAATTAGGCCAGGTTAAAACCACAACAAATTTACCAATCGAGAATAAATAACTCGAATAAAACAGAAAATAAAAATATAAACTTGGAAAAGACAGCTGCAACGAACAGCTACAATTAGAATAAAAAATAACAACTAAAATAAATAATAATAAAAAATAAATCTTGAAAAAGACAGCATAAAAATTACAACCAAAATAAATATTAACAAAAAATAATGGAAGAAATTCTGAAAATAATAAATTTATTTTAAAATTAAATTAAATTGATTTTAGCCCTCAAAAATGAAGAAATATTAGAGAAAACAGAAAAAGAAATACCTAAATAACAAACGAAGCTGCTGTAGGAAAGAACCACGAAAATCCCGCAACAAATTATACTTTCAATTTAAAATCAAGATTTAACGGACAAGTTTAACGAAACTGGATAGGAAAAAGGCTTTGCAACGCACCTTCCCTCGTGTCGAGTTGGGTGGCCGTCGCAACGCGGTCCGCTTCGTATCTGTCGAGTCCCAGGGAGTCCTTAGCGAAGAGTCGCTGGCACGCTGACACTGTCGGGATTCAAATTCACAGTCACACATTTGCACGCCCGAACACGGTAGAACATTTTCAGACGATGAGCGAGGATCTAAACTAACCAGAGAAATTCCGCGGCGCAGTAATTACGATGCTGTTGTGGCGAAATATTCCGCAGTTAAAATGCACGCAACTGGCCACTGTTCTCCATGTCGCTCCCATCCAGCGCGCACTCGGCGTCATTTCTGCAGAATCGCCAACTAAACAAAATCTAGAAAACTGTACCAGTTCCGGCTGTTCCACAACTTGCAAACTGAGGAATAAATGTCTAATGAAAAGGCAGAGAAAGCCCAGGAAAGAATTTATTGTGGAAGAAATTAGAAAACTGAAAAGTCAGCCAAAACAGAAATAACATGAAACATTAAACAACATGAATTTAGCGTCGTGCAGTGACGTGCACCCTGCGCTGAGGCCGTGCTCGCTACGCAACGCTACAGATTACCGTAGCGTAGCGAGCGCAACCCCACCCCAGCGCATAAGATCTCCTCGGCCACTGTTCTCGACGGTATGCGGGTGCCGCCTCGGTACGACAGTCTGCTGCAACGCGAATTAATTGTTTTTCATTTTGACAAAATAATCGTGGATTGCTCGGAATTTGCTTTGGTTTTTGATCTTTTCTTTTGTAAATGTATATTACCATCTCAAACTACAGAGTACTTGAAACAGTAAATAGCAAAATGCATAGGCGAGTTTAACTCGCTTGGGCGGGAGGGGCACTGAGAACCCAAGAACCCCAAAGATAGCCAGATAACTCACTGCAAAACTTATAAAAAATTTTATATAAAGTATGAAACGAATCAAGATTGTTGGTACAGCAAGATCTCAAGTAAGCAATTACATGATAACGGACATTTTCGCGCGGAGCGCGAAGCCGACGAACGTTTTCACTGCAGAAATTACTAGAAATTTTATAAAAAAAAAGCAGAAATAATTTGAATAATTTTCAGCGGAATTCAAAAGGCAAAAAGCATTACAATATTTTAAGTACAGTCTGTACAGAGTCAGAAAACCAGTGAACTTTAGCGCAAAGCGCGAAGCCGGCGCACGATTTCATCGCAGAAACTGCCAGAAATTATATAAAAATTTCTAAAAAATGTAAGATACAGATACGTCATTGAAATTTTTCTGCAGCGGATGTTAAACGGAACAACAGCAATGCGGTATGATGTACAGAGTTGAGAAAAACAGCAAATTTTCGCGCGGAGCGCGAAGCCGATGCACGCTTTTAAACCTAAGATTGCTAGAAATTCGATAAAAAATAGTAAAATATTACGAGTTTCTGATAAAACTCCTTTAGGAACATGGTTTATTAATAAAAGAATATGTTATTCCCAGATAATGTGCGCTTCGTGGAAGAGCGTGAACTGTACACCCACGTTTTGCGCAGTGATTTTAAGTTACATTCGTTAAAGTGCAACAAAGAGGCAATTTTGCGCGGAGCGCGAAGCTAACAAACGGTTTGACTGAAAAACTCGCTAGAAATTCGATAAAAAATAGCAGTTTCTGCAGTTTTTTCCGAAGCCGGTAAATTTTTTCTAGCAATAGTCCCCCCTTTACTTTTTTGAAGTACCCACTTTTCCGAAAATTTCGGAGGGGGCACGTGCCCCCGTGCCCCCTCCCTAAATTCGCCCCTGGGCCAAAATGTACCCAGTTTTGTGCCGCTGCACACAGACTTTTGATTAAATCAGCAGTGAAATTCCAATTGTAGCTGATACGGCAGACGTGCCGGTTGTTGCTAAGTTTAAGCCAGTAAAAACCGTCAAGAGATCGTTTCGTGATAGTGTTAGTACAGGCTACAGCTGCCATATACACTGTAACTCGTCCGCGTAATTATTCTGAAAACTAATGTAAGATTTCCTGGTCGCGATAAAGAATGCACGCATATTTTCGGGAACCATCATGCGGCAATCATGATCAATCGATAACCGTGGTTTTCTTCGGCTACGAGTCTGTCCTTGCAGGTCCTTGCAATTTCACTCGTTTTGTACATCGATGGTAGAAACACTTGCTTATCCAGTCCGTCGGTGAGAACCGATTTTGCTGCCATAGAATTCCGGATAATACTGGAAAACGATGGTTCTCCGTGTTTGTTTGACAGCATGTCTGGTGATCGTCGCAACGAGCAGTCAGCGGGCGGTACCGCCTTCGCTCCTGATGGTGCCAAATAACTGTACAACCGAAGAGCAGACAGCGGCTCAACAATGCCCACACTCCATCGACACTCTGTTACTGAAGAACAGTGACATGGTGCAAAAGCTGGAAACTGTCTTCGGGGGAAAACCCAGAGGGAATCCCAATGCGACCACCATGTCTCGTGTCGTTGAATTTTTGTGCGGGTAATTCTCCATCGCCATAAGGAACTTTACTGCTGCCTTTTGCTACGTATTCCTTGTGTACTGACATGCGAAAGTCGCACCGCAGTAGATTACCAAACCTGCTCAATCGGTAGGGGAATATGCTCTGGACTCCGTAAGTGGTACAACTGCCTACTTCCGCTAGGTACAAGCGGATTGCTGTGCCTAACGAAAGTTGTCGAAACCGAAACGCTCAGAAACTTCCCAAATGTTTAATCACCAAACCGAACGAACAAACAATCAGAACAGAACAGAACGAGATATGAACTTCCTTCTAACCTAGAGTCACTCCGACCTTTCAGCCCGAGACAAGCTCACAGATTTAGTTGAAGTTAGAAACTAGAGCCCTGCACGAGCAGCAAAAGTGCTGCTCAACTCGCTCGTTTCTGCTTTTTTAAACTTCCTGCTCGCTCAGCTCGCTCGCGCCCAAACCGCCGCTCGCTCAACTCGCTCGTTTTCAAATTTTTCTTTGCTTCCGCTCGCTCAACTCGCTCGTAATTTTATTTTGGCAAATCGGCTCGCTCGTGAGATCGGCAAAAATTTACGTATCAATTTTTTTTACACGAATTGATTATACCAAACTTTTCACCAACACAAAAAACTCAGTAAGTGTAATTGGATGTTCGGAGACAATCACTTATATCTCCATACTGGTAGTCCATTTCATTACAGTTTTCCATTTTTTCGCTAATACATTTCTCTAGTTTTCAACTGGATGTAGATTTCTTAATTTAGCCTGAAATAAATACGTATAATAGAATGCATGCTCGAAAATTAAAATGCGCCTTTCTTAGGAAGCATTCAACTGGTTCATAAACCCGTCAAATAATGTTTTTGTTGGCTACGAGTACAAAATATCAAAAGTTAGTCCGGAGTCCCAACCGGTCTAGAAAAGTCGGTACTGTAAATCACTTCGCGCGAAGCGCGAAGGTGACGGTGGTTTAAGATCGTTTTCAGGTCGGTCATTGTAATTTAGTACTAGAAACTTCTCCAGTTCGCACAATGTCAGCCTGTAGGCTCGCGATTGCTCGCACCCGACCATCCTGCTCGCTCGGCTCGTTCGCAATTTTTTTCTATTGCTCAGCTCGTTCGCAAATTCGCAAAACGACGCCTGCTCGCTCGAAGTGCTCGCGAGCGCCGAGCGCTCGTGAGCCGAGCCGAGCGGCTCGGCTCGTGCAGGGCTCTAGAACTTAGTACTGTATAAGGTAATATTTTGTTTAGCCTAAATGCATAGTAGATGTGTTTATTTTTTAGTCCGGTGACTACCGCGATTTCCTGTATCGAACGGCTGCCGCGTCCATGCTTTTTCCACCCGGATTTGCCAACATCCATGCGCTGGATTCTGTTTAACTCCCGCATCGCAATCAATGTCAGCGACATTTTCCGTCGAATGTGTGGTGTGCCGGATCTCGACCAGCATTTAATCCGGATTGGTGAATGCACACCAGCACTGAACAACCTGACGATTGTTCAAAGCGGTGGCATACGGGAGGAAATTTCTCGTGCAGCCGGACCGCCACCCCAACTCACAGCCCCGTACATGGATTTTGATTGGGAGTGCCGGTAAAAGCATGTCCAAATTTTGCACGGTTTTAATTTAATTTCCGGGCTCTCCATGTAGCGTAGATTTCTTGACAAAAGTTTTCCTTCGTATACCATGATTTTTATTACTTTATAAAGTTCCACAATCGCTACGGAACTGGAATATCCAGTTCTCGTAATAACCAATAAGCAGTGGCCAATGGAGAAGCCCGCCTTCACTAACACTAGTGTAGTGTATGTGAAAGTACACAGTATGTATCGGGAAGTACGCATCTTTATTGTAGCTCGACATCTCGCAACTGAACATGAACCGTAGTAACTGCAGTCGGTACATCATAGCGTTGCTAGGTAGGCAACATTGCAGAATCTCGAGAATCTCGTGCACGTACATGTCGTACGTACACTCGTACATCACAACTAGTCAGAATACTCCAAACAAAATTTCAAAAATCGAAAAAATAAATAGAGTGGCATATAGTGCAGCAGACTAATGATCCCGACTGACAAGTGAATATGTTGCAGAGCGATCCGCCGTCATATGGAAATCATGAACCGGGATCTGGTCACGTCGACGTGCGGCGAGGATGCCGGTGCGACGTATACCACGGTATTTTATCCGCTGGCGCGAGACATCTTTCTCTGTTCAGAATAATTAAAGCTCAGCAGAGGGAAGCCGTCGTCTAAGTGCTTCATCAACCAGTTACGGAGAGTTTCTTTTGACCGAGCGGTTTGCACTTTGCAGTAGTGGCGGTAGCATTTTGGGCAGGGGGTAAAACGTGGCAGTGGCACCTGCCAGTGGCACTGCCAATGGCATGGCAAGCGATAAAACCTGGCAGATGCCACATAAAATGTGACACCACGTACGGGAAGCTCGTTCGAAATGGCTGGTCAACTCTGTAATTTTTGAAAATTTTGCCCAGCACACAAATAAATTTATCGTGTACAGCGCACTGATCATGCACGAAATGTGTATGGGCCGAAACATAAATTTCCAGCGATCACACTGCATGCGGCGTTTGCACAAAGCGCCGCAATAAAAAGAATGACAAGACACGTTAAAAACCCCTTCCCAACGTGTCCTAAATAATCGTTATATGAATACGTAGTAATTATCTTTGCCAGGATTTCGGCCCCTGTTCTTCCCGGCCAGCGAACTCAGCTTCTAATCACTCGAGTTTACTGATTTAAAGTGCAGCAGAACCTTCAGAATGCAGGGAGTGTCCCTGGGCTGTTCGCGCTTTGTCAACTTTATTTTGTTACGCCCAGTGGTCACTCAAACACTTGTTACCATGGATGCTATAGGGCTAACATGTGCTGCTTAGCAGCAAAGAGAGCTTCTTGCTAGTGGAATCAGCTTACCGGCCATGAGAATCGACCAACTGAATAAAAAATAGAATTAATAATTCGATTAAAAAAATTAATTTCCAGCGTGGAAAAAATAATTTCGATAATTCGGACAGAAAAATCGTGATTGGCTGGTTTCAGTTAGCTGCTGGACCAATCACTTCACGCGAATCACTTTTGAATCTACCACGGTATTTTTGCTTCTCCAAAAGGTCTGAGTTCTACAGAACAACTTTTTAAAAGTTTGCCACGGAAATCAAGTTGGGAAAACTAGTATCTTCGTTTTCGTACTAAAGTCATCTCTATCAACCAAGTCTGCACGAGTTGGCTTATCGATTTGCAAGTTGCACTTGAGTGCAGTGTACTAAGTGAACTATCGTACTGGTACCAACACAGAGCGAGCGAAGCGACGGCTGTTCACAACTTTGATTTTAATTCCGTTAACGCAGCATTCAAACACTCCACAGACTTTGCGCCCAGAAAATTACATTTTCCCGAATGAAAAAGAACAGCAGTACATGCGGATAAGCGAATAGGCAAACCAGTAAATAATTCAGGAGTATAGGATAACTGCAGGCGATTACTGATACTTTCCAGATTTAACTTCTGACCAAAGTTAAATGAACCAATCATATTAACAATACGATAATTTGTAACCATACAACGGTAACCACACTGACGTAATAAACTAGTGAAATAATGCAAGAGAGCGCAGGACTCCCGCCGAGATGTGCCGCCATTGACCGTAATCCGTCCATTAGCATACAGCTGGCAGTGACCTTTCATGGGATGCAGTGTCCGCAAGAGTAAGCCGGAAAATCTATGCGGTAGGTACTGGGCCATCGACAGTGTCTTCTCCAACTGGGCGAGGTCCAGGATACAGTTTAGTTCCGCAGTCGCCACAACATTTTTCACCGCCACTATCTGTTGATACGAGTACAATTACCAGTACGTACAACTACACAAGACTGGCAGCGCCTGCATCCCAGGCACCGTCATAGTTTAATGGAACGCGATCCGTAAGTAAAAATAGGATTTGGTAATAAGCAGCGAAATAATTTCCACAGATTACCTCACTGTTTTAGCTGCTTTATTACTCCGTACTATTTCTGTGTTTTAATGTTGTATTATTAAAGTTATTGCGCTTGTGCTGCTGAAGCTTCGTTTCCTTTCAGTGTCGCTTTATCATCATTAACTTTCCGATTGTTTTATGTGAACATTAAGACTAAAGTAACAACAAGATCGTAACTACAATAATATTACGAACGCAAAATTTTACGCCTAAATTAAATGCATTATTTCTGAATAAATCTGTATGTTTAATAGCGCCAACGACGAAATTCTCTTTCCTTCTTTGAACAGTGCAGCGTTATCGCTGACTGTGGTCGAAGGCAGATCCAAGGCTACCAGTACCTAGGTAGTGCAGAGGGATCGTTTTTTCGACGGCTGGTCGGAGCGTTACAATGCTGGTGACGGCCCTTCCGGTAGCTAATACCGATTATTGCTGTTCGCCAAAGGTTAGAGATAACGAGCGCCATAAGCTTTGTTGGAACGCCCACTAATCATGATAATTTACTTCCGTGCAGATGAACCATACATCGATATTAGTAATTTTGGAAAGGATTGGCATGTTACTTAGCGGGTTGGGATTGTCTGTCAATGGGCAAAATATCTATTGTGGAGATTACATCTACAGTGGGCACACATGCGTCTTGGTCCTCTCCGCACTGGTCGTCAATGAAGGTACGCAAAAACACAATTTAGCATACAATAATAATCGCATAAATCGTACTTGCAGCACAGTAACTGATTCGGCTTTTTAAAATATATTATTTAAACAGATTGCAGCAAAATGACGCGCTTTTTCTTACAATTAGATGGTCGGCATACTTACGCCGGTGCAGCACCAATGTTACTGTAATATTACAGTATTATAAAAAAATTAACGCACATGCATATGCACACCAGCACATGTACTCGTATGTAAATTTGAAATTGACACAATTTGGAAAGCTGAATTTGATTTGGAAGTTTTTTTCTGGAAATTTCTTCCAGTGATGACTACCAGGAATTTGCTTGTTAACAGAAAACATTTTCATAATGTTTTCCGTAACTTCTGCTTGTTCCTCTGTTTGCAAAACTGTCCTCAGCGAAGCTCGGTACTATTATGTTAGACGCAAGCGTAGACAAAACTGTGAAGTGTTTTCCGTAGTGTGGTACTCGTTAATTAAAAGTTGGATGCCTTCTTATAGATGCTCCTCGCAGATCTTTGCCCCTCATGGTGGGAGTGTATTTGATTGTCACTGACCGGAATTGTGATGGTATCCATTTCTTGTGGTCACTACACTGTCGACATTATTTTGGCTTATTACATAACTACCAGGACATTCTGGATGTATCATACAATCATTTGTCACGTCGAATTGAAGTTAAAGGTGCACCCTTGGTCGTTGTGTGGCGATTGTTTTTAAGGCAGGTAGGTAATAATAAAAATAAGGCAGGTGATAATAAACAATAAAAATACATATTTATCTGTACATGGTATACACTAATACAAACACCCTAAATTGTGCTGTTTTCGGATATTTTTTCAGAAAGCATGCGAATAATTTATTTACACGTGTAATGAATTTTTAGTGATATATTTGTTTTGCTGCCCATTAAAGCTAATCTTCGAGCTTCCTTTCTTTGCAGGAGAAGTGCTTCTGTTCCGTGATACCCACATCGAAACAACTGAAGGTTGGCTGGAGCCTTTATTAGCACGGATTGAAGGGGGTAAAGAGCGCACCGTTTGCCCAATTATTGGTGTAATCTCCGACGACACTTTCGAGTATGTTACAGTCTCCGGTATGGTGGGTTCAACTGGAAACTCAATTTCCGCTGGTATACAGCGCCCATTCGGGGAATGGTGCCACGCGGTCATGACCACACACTGCCACTGCAGACGCCGATAATAGCCGGTGGATTGTTTCCTAGTAATCGGGACAACTTTTACGAGCTGAGATCGTATGATGGGGGGGGGTATGGATGAGTGGAGTGGAGAAAATTTGGAGTTCAGTTTTCGCACATGAATGTGTTCATTTGGTTAATATGTCGGAGCTATCTGTACTATAGAGAAAGACTGAACAGTAAAATCTTCCGATGGTATTTTGAAAAGTATTTCTCCGGAAGCTCTTGTACCGCTGAATGGTCGTAGTATTAAGTGAGCAGTGATATCGCTGATACCAAATGATATGTTCATGTTTGTGTGCAATGAGTACCTATTTAGTTTCTTTTCTAGGGTAGTTTGACTATTAAATCGTGACGACTGAAACAGTGAAGTTCTATGTGAATTTTGCGCGTTTGGCAGACGGAAATAAAATTAATAAATTAAAAAATTCTCATTGGCCTAGTGGCTAAGCGACACATTTTTCACCACTTTTTTCCAAATAAATACGGGATGTTAAAACCGGATTGTATCCATAAATCCCATTATTTTCCAACAAATTTACTAGCCATACATTTTTTTTCCTTTTCTCACGTATTGCAAAATCTTATTGCTATGGATAATAACGCCCTCCACCCCGCAGCCGTCGATCATTTTCAGGATGCTACCGCCAGGGTCGAAGCATACCTGCAGACCTTGGCGCCGACGGTGTCGACGCTGTATTTTGACCATATTAAGATGGTTGAAATTCCAGCAACACCACTGTTTGCCGGATTTACTAATATTCAGTAAGATTCTGGTATATTAATAATTTTTAGAAATTTTAATAATTTGGCTTAAGTTGTAAATCGAATAAAATGCTTAAATAAATGTAAAATAATTCTACAGGTCTATCACTGCGGCCAAGTGTGGCCTTACTTCGCTGGCCAACCTGCCCGGTAAAGCGACACTGCAGTCGCTGTACCTGGAGGGCAACGCTCTTTCCGGATCGGCCTTGGAGGCCCCCGGGACTTTCACTCCCTCCGACAGCTGCACCTCCCGGACAACCTGTTTGCGTCGGCGGACGACTTCCGACCGATCCGGAACCTGCCTCTGGATCTGCTAGATGTCGGGTACAACCTGGTCACCCGCAGCTCGTCCTGTCAGGAAGCATTGGAGCTGCTGTTTCCCAACACGGACATCCAGGTGACCGGACACATCGTCCAGGAGGACTCCAGCAGCAGCGCGGAGGAATCGGAATTATATGTTTCCGACACAGGTAATGATTTTAGCTACTGTAATTTATTTTTAGCAATAACGTTTATGCTTTCTTTACTTGTTTTGTTTCATATTAACTAGAATTTGAAGAGGAATCCACCAAGGATTCGGAAGAAATGGCAGCCGCCGTCAAGGCGCTGGAAGAAGGTAATCCTGATTTTCGAACTGATTTATTATTATTTGCTTTTAATTCTTTTTATTCGTAGATCCGGATTGGGAGATGGATCATGTGAGCAACTCGTGCTCCGAGGATTCTGCGGATTCGGAATTGTAATTCGTTGGTTGTTTTTGCGCTACTTGTATTTTTTTTCAGCATTGTTGTATGAAATTAATAAATGCCAGTGGGCTACGGTGTCGCTTTACCTTACAAGATAATAATCACAGGTGCTCGCAAATGCATTCACATACACATATTATAGTTCTTTATTCAGTTTATTGTTGATAATAGTATTGGTATACACACAAACGATCTCACTCGTTGCCAGAGCAACGCTCCGTAGCTACTTTACCCATCTAGTTGCTACTCTACTCAGCTAGTTGCTAGCGTATTCAACTTGTTTCTTAACTGCATAGTCTTTCGCGGGTTCATCCATGCAATTCGATCTTCATGCAAATTATTCGCACTTGTCTGCACTTACAAACTTGTAATATTTGACTTGCACGATTTCTTTATCTGACGTATTTTCTAAAATGTCCGAGTATCTTTCACCTATGGATTGGGAGGCCTGGGGCCGTAATTTTAATGAAAGTGTAGCGTCCTTTAACGCTGAATTTGATATCGTGGATCAGATTTTGCGGGAAGCAGGTGTGGTTCCTGAAGTGCCCGAGGGATTTGTCGATCCGGATACACAGAAGGACCGATACCTACCACGGTACGAGGCGATCTCCCCGCCGCCGCCGGCCGAAGCGGATCCTGAGCCCGTCCTGATCCACGTACCCGAACCCAGCAATGCCACCCAGTTTCAGCCGCCATGCCAACTCGTGCCAACGTTCGACCCAGCACCTCCGGCTCCTCCATCCCAACTTACGCTCGGTGAGCAGGCAACGCTGCACGAGTTCCTTCAAGTTCGACCTAGCGGACCGGTATCGATGTATGCCAATGTGGATACCGTGACTTTGACGCACGGCGGAGCGTTGACGGTTAACATCCACCGTGAGAATGGCGTCCCGCAGTTCGCGACCCTGCACACCTGCCGTGGGAAAGAGAAGGCCGGTTGTGCCACCACCATGGGGGAGCTGCGTGCTGTACTGCGCTTTCTTCTCTCGGCCGAGTGCGACGCCCAGATCCACCGCGCATCGCCACCTGTCGAGAGGGGCGAACTCGTCGACCCGATGTTTCGAAAAGGGTTCTCCCTCACCCTGCACGCCGCCTGGATCTCCCTGAAATCCGGCAAGCACTTCCAGCTGCGGATTTCGCGCGTGGGCGACAATCATCGCAGCGTAGCCACGCCCAAGATCAGCCAAACCACCCTGCAGCGCCTGCGATGCAAGAACTGGTACGAGCTCCTCCCACAGCTCTTCCCGGGCTTCTCCCATGGGATCAAACGTAAGGTCACCAGTTCATTCAAGTTCATTTCACTGTTCAACCAGTTCAGTTCAACGTTCATAAAGTTCAATGTTCACTAAAGTTCAGTGTTCATTCAATTCATTTCAATTCAGTTCAATGTTCATTAAAGTTCGGTATTCATATTTTTACATTCATTGTTCACTGAATCGAATTGAATTCATCTTTCATTTTTTTAGCGTTGCCGCAAGAGTTTTGGAAGGACTTCCGAGCATACCTGGCTATGGAAGCCGTCCATGCTGCGCGCTCTATGGACATCACTGGACCGACGGAAGAGCAGTTGTCGGTGATGCTGTCTAACCTGCAAGCTTCTAGTTTCTACAGTATTTTGCTTGAGCTGATGCCTGTGTATTCTGATTGTTCCTTTACATGCTTTGCCAGTATTGATTTCGTGCGTGAGCAGTGTCAGATGTGGAACTTTACTGTTAACAATTATGTATTGTAGCATTGTGTAGCTTAGCCACTGCGTAGGTCAGCAACCGTTTGTGTACGTTAGCCACTGTCAGTATTTCATATCAGGCTCACTTGTTCTGAATTAAATTCAGTTGGCGGGTTTTCGTTTAGAAAGTGTTGCATACAAATTTCAATCATGGATTACACATTATCTGATGTTGATATGGCTGATTTAATAGCGGACGGTGATTGGGATGACGATGATCCCATGCAGTTAGATAGCGATACATTACGTGATGCAGCCATGCTAGCGGCAGAGGATGACTGGGTTTTGGATGAACCTATGCCCCAGTGGGGCGGTAGTTCTGAAATAGCTGACAGAGTCGATGTTCGTTGCATTGGCCGTAAATATTCTAGAAAGTTTCGTGTACATCTGAACACTTTTGACGTTAAGGTTTCTGATTTAAATGGTACTGCGATCAGTGACATTCCGCAAACCATTTGTAGTATTTTGGAGTATATTCTGGCTGTTGTATTGACTGGTGTGAACGACAGCGATGCGGTCCGTCTGCGTGTTGATTCCCGTCATTTTGATCGTCCTCTTTATACATCGTTGACCCTCCGGACCGAGTTGAGTGTCCAGCGGTGGATGGCCGATATCCAGCGCGTTTTGAATAGCCATGAAGAATTCAGACTGGACGATTCCTTCCAAATCTTTGTTCAGCATACGGAGCTGCCGTTTGGTCGTTGTGTGAAGGATGTTCCGGCTCTCCTGATGCGTCGTCTGAAGAAGATGAAGTCCGTGACGATTGTTAATGGCGATGATGACCTTTGCATGGCGCGCGCGTTGGTGATGGGCAAAGCTTTAGCCGACAACGACAAGAAGCTGTTCCGGAGCCTGCGGCGGAGTAAGCGCGTGATTACAAAGTTAGCCAAGCAGCTCATCAAGCGTGCCGGTTTGCTAGAGCGGGCGTACACTCTTAGAGATTTATCGGCGTTCGAGAAAGTTCTTCCCGCATATCGTATTGTTGTGGTTAGCGTTGACCATGCAAATGCCATTGTCCATAAAGGCCATAAGCATAAGAAGCATATAATCCTGCTGCATCATGACGGTCACTTTGATTTGCTAAAGTCGTTGCCGGCGTTCTTTAAGCGTAACTACTGGTGTTTTGAGTGCATGAAGGGGTACGATAGCCGTGTTAAGCATCGCTGCCGTGCGAGGTGTTCGTTGTGCCTCCGCGCATCTTGCTCGCAAGATGCCGACAATCTTCTCGTTTGTCCGGATTGTCATCGTACGTTTCCTGGCCAGGATTGTTTTAATTATCACAAGCTTGGTAGCACAAAGGGTCGTTGTCATCGGCGTAAGGCTTTATGTGACACCGTTAAGCTCTGTGTCCAGTGCCGCTGCATTTATTCCAATGCCCAGCGCAAGCCGGACAATCCTCACCGTTGTGGCGAGACGAAATGCAAGACCTGCGACGTCTTTGATCTTCCCGCGGATCATCGCTGCTACATGCGGCCTAAGCCATTCTCTCTGGACCGGATGGCCAAGTGCTCCTCGGCGAAATTCTTGTATTTTGACTTTGAGACCTACGTTTCTCCGTCCGGCGACCTTGTGCCCAACTTAGCGGTAGGTTGTCCATTGTGTCCTAATTTTTATGGTGTAACATGCTGTATTGCGACAGGTTGTACAGAATGACGTAGGCGATGAATGGATTTTCCCTGACTCTGCGACCGAAATTGGCAAGGACGTTACCGATAACCTTTGCACATTCCTGTTCCAGGAAGACCACCAGGGCTATTACGTCATCGCCCACAATTTTAAGGTAATTTATTAGACCATTCATTTAAAATCACTCTTATACACCCGGCCGACTTTTGTAGGGGTTTGATGGATACTTTATCCTCAATTGGTTGC